CTCTACACCTGTAATTTTGTACAATTCAACATTAAAACACCCTCACTTATTTAATACATCCGTTCTCGTATGCTATGCAAGTGACAACATCAATTCTTATATGTTGATGAGTTCACTATTAAAAGCCTTAGCCTTACAATGGTCTAAATACAACACATCCAATCTCATATTCAAGTCAATTGAGTCAACATGTATACCAACAATTCTTACATGCTCGTTAATTTAGCATTATACGCTTCGATTATTCTTTTTTTTTTTTTAATCAATTAAAATCTTAATAGATACAATATCTCAAGATTTAACAAAGATTAACTAGAAATTAATAAAATTGGCAAAACCATCTACAACAGTAATTTATAACTGTAAACTGTAATCCTTAACAATATTTAACTTTCTTATATCTTAACTTTCATTTATATCCTCTAGTAACTTTTCTTATATATTCCTGGGATTAAATTGACAGATATAGCCTTACTTCCACAACTTATATTCTCTCTCATTTTATTTGCATTGGATATAAAGGCCTCTTAAAACAGTTATAGGTTCAATAGGATCCTTTCAACTTAAATCTAGTATACCCATGTACACTTTTCAAAACTTTAATGCTCATACATTTAACAACAATCAATTGTCCTTTTGTTTTTTTTCTTTTAACTACCTGTGCTTCTTAAATTTGTATTCACTATAATACCATTATAATTAAAGAACAATGGCTTAGCTCGCAAACATTTTCTCAACGAATACTTCTCTATAACATGTAAAACTTACAACTTAGACCATGCAGTATTTATTTTTCATTCTGCGTATATGCTATTCATAAAGTAGTTTATTATCCATCAGTAAACCATATAAAAATCTCATAAATTGCGCCAGTATCCATATTCATAAACCAGCTCGTTCATACTGACTATCCACATCTCTCCCTATGGAAGTTTGCATCCAGTCTTTTCCTGCTGTTTCCTTTTTTTTTTCTTATGTCATCTGCTTATCTTTTTTTCTGCTGTCCTACTTTTCTTTTGTCTGTCGTCTCTGCCATTTTCTTATATATATATATATATTCTTTGGCTATCACTGGTCTCTTGGCTTATAAATTTTTCATTTCATTATATGGCGTCATACAATCCAATCAATCACAATACTATTTAAATGTTAAATAGGCATTACTATATGTATTTATACCTGTACATATGATACAATCTCCTTTTGAATCATTGCTATTTATATATATTTTTTTTTCTATAAATTATACTGATACTGTGCTTGTGAATCACTGTTCATCCCAACGGATACCAACATCTCACTTTCAATCTAAGTTACATTTGCAGTGATTAACTTGTGTTCACAAGATATTGAGGATTTTTCCTATTCTTCTTTTTTTTTTTTACTTATATATTCCTGTCATAGCTATACCGAAATCGCCATGCACTGTCCTCTACAGTACAGTAGATTCACAGAAGATAATTGGAAGTGTGGCACAGTATAGGAGTGCTATCTTCATAAAACTGACTAATTTCAGTCTCATCCTCTTTGGTAACAAAGTTATATTAAATAAAACAAACCACATGCTTATAAAGGCATAGCATAAAACACCAACAATCAGGAATTCTCATAAATATATAACGGTTGTATAGAATGGGAACGAATTTCCATGCATGGAAAGTTATGCAGCCTATTAATAACCACATTACCAAGGTCATCAGCAAAGTTTTCTAGAATATCCATATCTCTTTACTTTCCTAACAATCTTGTCTGTCTGTGTCTCATAATTTTCTTCTATAATAATTTTAAAGCTTATGTACTTTGAATATCTTAACATTGCCTCCCACAGAGACTATTTAATAATAACTAATTAATATACAGAAACTTCATTAGTCAAATCATAAAATATTTTATAATCCTGTAGTATACAAATACATAAAAGGTAAGTTACATAAACCATTTAAAAATAGTATCCAATTTTCCTTTCTCCTCTATTTCACCATATCACAGTTTACATGTATTCACTTAATTCTCTCCCATCTGTCCATACCTATATACAACAAAAGAGAGTGCTATGCACTCATTTATATCCATCTTCCTGCCATAATATCTGAATTATAAAGTTTATTATCCAAATTTCACAATTCTAGACCACACTGTTTGACACAATCCATGTGCTAACTTCAAGATGAATTCATTATTAACTCATGAATGCTTTAAATCAGTTATTATCTTCTGATATACATTTATTTATATTAATATTCAATAATATATACTATATATTCTATTTTTTTTTTTATTATCTGTACTTCACAAATATATAATACAATTTGAATTTAAACAATTATGATTTCCTCCTTGGTTGACATTTCAATTCCAATACAGATTTAACAATGAATCTGTCCACTTTATAGTTTCTTAGTACTGTCATTCTACAAATGACACTAAATAATAAAACTCAATGGATAACTTAAGCTCAGATCCTTGTAGCAAATCTTCAGTTCATTAGCTTATGCACTACACAAGATTGGACAATATAGCAATACATTGCAATATATTACAATAGTCTATTTTCATTATTGTGATAACAATTGTCTTATGTTGTACATATTCATATTATAAAATCATGACATTTTGTGCAATTTACTGTATGGAGAGTTATAACTCATCAAAAGGCAAATACTCTCACTGTTGCAACTCAATATATGTATCCAAACATTCTGTATGTACACAAATATTAACTTTTTAGTCATATTCATAACACTAATAGTAAATTTAAAGACAAACTTGTTGCTCAAGTATTGTTTAGAAAATTCAACAGGTTTCTTGTATAATCAATAATACAATCAAGAGCCAACAACATTCATTTCTGGCTTTACCAAAAGCTTTTCTTTAGGTTAAAAGACAACTTCATAAATTATAAAACTAAACTAAAGTCAACAGGTCTTTTGTACAATCAAGACCCAACAACATCCATTTCTGGCTTTACCAAAAGCCTTTCTTTAGGTTAAAAGACAACTTCATAGTTTACAAAACTGAACCATGTAAGAATAGTCTTACCTGTAATCTATCACTTTCTAACATGTCACATATTAATTGGGTGCTTATAAATTCCAACAATCACTTACTAAACATTGTCTCCAATGACAAATGTACATAGCTACAGGTACCTGTACAGGACCTTTAAGTACCTTTATTGATCAACAATGGCTGCTAAGGGCCATTCTAATGAATTTCAAGAGAAGCATCAAAAAGTGAACCAATTGCTCAAACATATAATACATTAAATATGAGCATACATATAATATATAATTCCAGCATAATATGACACCTTTGAGGAATTGGATATCATCTCTAGGTGCTTTTTCAACACATTAATAATCAATATCATATGATTATGATAACCTTGAGGATCCTAATAGATCTCAATTGGATTTTATACTAATTAATAATTAAATAAGGAACTATTAATAATAATAGTTTACAGTTATTCGGTTTTTAACATTGGAGTTTACTACCAATTGTTAGCCATTGCTATATATATATACATATATATATACATTTATAAAATTCAAAACACAGCAAGAAATAAATATAATAATTGTACTATCAGAGTTAAGTACTATTTTCACTGAGCTTCACAGCTAATCATGAGATAGCATCTAAAATGTCTTTAATATGTAATATTATTAAATATAACATGTTATGTAGCTTGTATCAGTTTATGTCAACAATATACTGTGTCTATCTATATTAATATGCTTTATTAATTCATTAATAAACACATATCAAAGTATCAACCAATATAATATATATATGACAGTATCTCAATTTGGGACTATAACCACAATCAAGACATATACCTGGACTATGCCTGTGATTGTCATTTATCTGAAATGGGATCATCAAACATATATGTGTACCTATGTAAAGAAATAATAACAATTCTTCAATTCAATTCACGTAGAACAAACACACAAAACTGAACAGTAAGTTTGACTAATTTACTGTGAATTAGCAACAAACTCAGCAATACCATTACACTGTTTATATGTATAACATGGTATGTGTTCTCATGTTCAACCTGTATGTCAACATAGTTAATGTAACTGTTTCTAATCTGTTGATATCCTATCATACTCTATCATAGGCATTAATAACATAACAATAGTTACTCTGTAATTTAAACTAATTAGATATCCATGTTGTTTTATACTTAATGTATTCATAATACTTCTTTCTTAGGTATATTGTATATCTCAATATCGTGCTACATGTCATGTCATTACTCTCGCAAGTTATCGTACATACTAAATCTATTTAATATGTAGAAAGCAATTCATCCAAAAGTTCAATAAAACAAGTGAGATACTGCGTTTAATGGTATGCGTGTTATTAACGTAAACTCACTTACCACAACTTCTAGTCAGAATTACCTTACGGTCGAATTTGTAGGCGGGATTGGTACCGCTTCTGAACTTTTAAAATCACTAGTATCCTGACGACTTAGGCGTAATACCGGTTAGTCAGGGAGAGAAACACCTCAATGCCTACAATATTCACAATTACCTATCTCTTATTTGTTTTTATAATAATATAAACACTTCAACTTTTTCGCTCCAAAACTCCCGCTGCCTACGTTCAATCATCCGTCCTCCACTTGTCAATGTCACATAGATTACTTTGGCTCTGGCCTCTGACGTTCCGTTTCAGGTTACATGATTATTGACTTTACCATTTTTAATTAATGGTGCGTCACACGATAGTTAACACTATATATAAAAACACCCAGACCGATACAAACAGTCATACTCATGAGTACATATATTTGTGCCGTGCGAGGAATCGAACCCGCGACCATCAGAAGTAAAGTGCTAAACTGCTGGACCACCGAGGCTATCAAAAATGTATTTAAGTATTTCTACAAGTTGTATAATACCAATTACACATACTCTGGTTAGATTGGAACTAGATGGCGCTGTGTGAGTTATTGTTAGTAATCTTTATGTTGTGTTGTAAAGGTACACAGCTGCTACGGCGAGGAGTTGGGATTCAATTCCGACGACGAAGGCTACGCGCGAGACTGCTCCGAGGACGCGCCGGCGTTGCCCGACGCCGTATCCGAGGTGAGTGGTTGTGTCAAAAAATGTAAAGCCAAAAAAGACTAATAAACGAATTTTACAATCTAAAACAAAAGTGATATACATATATAATTATCATTACATAGTATAAAACAAAGTCGCTGTCGCTGTCTGTCCATATGTATGCTTAAAACTACGCAACGGATTTTGAAGCGGTTTTTTAATAGATAGAATGATTCAAGAGGAAGGTTTATATGTATAATACATGTACACTCGTGCGAAGCGCGAGCGAGTAGCTAGTACTGTAATAAAATACATATACAGTTATACAAATATATCTTCTTATATATAAAATTCTCGTGTCACAGTTTTCGTTCCCATACTCCTCCGAAACGGCTTGACCGATTCTCATGAAATTTTGTGAGCGTATTGAGTAGGTCTGAGAATCGGCCAACATCTATTTTTCATCCCCCTAAATGTTAGGGGTACCTCTAATTTTTTTTTTTATTTTAAGGCAAAACACGTTTGCCGGGACAGCTAGTGTGTATATATGAATATAATTATTTCTCCCGCGTACACTTAGATTGTGGAATGAACTACCTGCCGAGGTTTTCTCACGAGACTACAGCATGGGGTTTTCAAGAAGGGTATATTAAGGTTTCTTAAGGGTCGGCAATGCGCACGTGACATCCTGGTGTTTTAGGTGTCTATAGGCTACTTTTTACCGTTTACCATCAGATGGGCCATATGCTTGTTACCCACCATCGTATTATATAAAAAAAAGCACAGTGTTTTTCAAGAAGGGCATATTAAAGTTTCTTAAGAATCGGCAACGAGCACGTGACACTGGGTGTTTCAGGCGTCCATAGACTACGGTAATCATTTACCATCAGATGGGCCGTCTGCTTGTTTCCCGCCATCGTATTATATAGAAAAAGCATAATGTCTTTCAAGAAGGACATATTAAGGTTTCTTAAGGATCGGCAATGAGCACGTGACACCCCGGTGCTTCAGGCGTCCATAGACTACGGTAATCATTTACCATCAGATGGGCCGTCTGCTTGTTTCCCGCCATCGTATTATACAGAAAAATCATAGTGTTTTTCAAGAAGGGCATATTAAGGTTTCTTAAGAATCGGCAACGAGCACGTGACACGCCCGGTGCTTCAGGCGTCCATAGACTACGGTAACCATTTACCATCAGATGGGCCATATGCTTGTTTCCCACCATCGTATTATACAGAAAAATCAGTGTTTTTCAAGAAGGGCATATTAATTTGCTAGCAATTCTCCCACTATGAGAGCATTGCAATTATTAAATTTATTTTTAGGTAAGGTCCAAGATACTGACGTTTATACTGAAGCCTTGCCTTCCATAATTACTAAAATAAGAATATTTTTATCATCGTATAATTTTAAGTAGTATAAATAGTTTTAAAATATAAACGTGTTGGCAATTAGCTGAAAGTTTATATTGTGTTAATTAAATAAATAAATAAAAAAATAAAAATTAAGGTTTCTTAAGAATCGGCAACGAGCACATGACACCCCCGGTGCTTCAGGCGTCCATAGGCTACGGTAACCATTTACCATCAGATGGGCCGTATGCTTATTTGCCACAATGGTAGTATATAAAGAAAACCATAGTATATTCCAAGAATGGTATTTTAAGGTTTCTTAAGGGTCGGCAATGCGCACATGACACCCCTAGTGTTTCGGGATAGTGTCCATAGGCTACTACTTTTACCATTTATTTTGCCGACGTCGTAGTATGAAAAAACATGACAAATAATTATGAAACTAATCATTTAATTACAAATAGGTTATATGTATTTTAATCTTTTCTTCAATGGTAATATTAAAATAAAACAACAAGACAAGAAAAAAACACTCAGGAAAAGAAAGAAAAAGATTTATCCAGTGCTTTTCGACAGTGCAATAATATAAACAATAACAAACTATCAATAGAAATAGAAATAGAAATAATCTTTATTCAAATAAACTCATTACAAGCACTTTTGAATAGTCATATTTTGATTCTACCACTCATTCGGAATGCAGATTCATCACAAGAAGAATGAGCAAGAAACTTGTGTGTTGCTCTTTTTAATAGATGTTTTTTTTTATATAAATAATTACAGTATAACAAGTAACAGGCATGCGATAATCAACATAGAAGTCGCTACGCACAATGCTAATGAATACACGTGTTCACATCGAGGAATCGAACCCTCGACCAGCGGAAGTGAAGCGGTGTGCTAAACCACTACACCACCGAGGTCGTCAAATATAGTTACACAACAGCTGTGTATCTACAAATAAACCGTTATCTATGACGAGCAACCACACGAGCTGCTATCAACATAGTAAACAAGGCAAAACATATGTTAAATCATAAAATTTCAAGTGGTACACAGTAATTTTATTAATATTAAGAATATATATATTAAATTCGTAATTAAATGCAATTAAAATATATTACACCCTGTATACGCATGGGTGAAAGTAACTTTGTGTGTATCATATATATTAACATAGTATATAGACTATGTCCTTGAGGACCAGTGTTCAAACAGTGAAAGAATAGTGCTTACATAGTGTTTTTATTAATATTGAGAATATATATATCAAAATAAATTGACGACCTCGGTGGTCTAGCGGTCTAGCACACTGCTTTACATCCGATGGTCGCGGGTTCGATTCCTCGCACGGCACAAACATTTGTATTCATGAGTATGATTGTTTGTATCGGTCTGGGTTTTTTCTATGTATAATATGTATGTATTTACGAAAAAAAAATATCTATGTATTTGTATCAGTTATCTAGTACCCATAACACAAGCTTTAGCCAGCTTAACTTGGGTCTAGATGGCGCTGTGTGAATTGTCCTGAGATTATTATTATTATTAAATTCGTAATTAAAAGCAATTAAAATATATTACACCCTGTATAGGCCAATGAAAGTAACTTTATGATATTGTGAATAGTGTTCAAACAGTGAAAAAATAGTGTTTATATAGTGATTATATGTTATTAATATTAAAAATATTTATTAAAGTGGTATCTCCCAATTAGTGGTACGCGTACCCCCAGGGGTACATGAAGTTGCATCAAGGTATACGTGCGGCTATCAGTAAAGCAAACATACACACACTCACAAACTGTCACATTTATAATATTAGTGTGATTGCTACAATAAGGGGTACGCAAGGTTTGAGATCTTTTTTGAAGTGGTACGCAACAAAAAACTATTTGGGAACCACTGTATTAAAGTAATTAAATGCAATTAAAATATAGTACAGCCTGTATACGTCCGGGTGAAAGTAGCTTTGGCGCCAGGAGGGCGTCACATAGTCGTGGTCAAGTCAAGAACTTATTATTTAATTTTAACAATAGATACAAGTAGAAAGTAGGTATTTTATTAATATACGTAAGTACTGTACTTAAACATATTTATTGTACACTTGAAATACTTAACACTTAATAACTTGTACATATACACGTACATATTGCCATCTTCTCTTGAAGACATCAGAGAAGCACTATTTAAATATACTTAATTAATATTGAAGGTATGTAGTTACATAAAATCTGTATGGTGACAAAATATATAAATAAAATAATTATGTTCAATTAGTGGTCCACCGAATTCCTGGAACCAGCTCAGGGGGGTCATGGCCCACATGACCCCTCCCTCTTGGATCTGCCATTGGTGTATCATATATAAAAATAATTTGATTAAGTTCAAGGAAACTCTTAAGGCACTAAGTTTTGTTGATGTATATACTAATAATGACCCTAATGAAGCATTTGACGTGTTTTATGATACATTTAAGTTGTTCTATGACCTCTGTTTTCCTATACTCAAAATTAAAGTACCTACTGAAATAAAAGTTCATTGGATATCTAAGGGCTTAAAACTATGTAGTAAACGTAAAAGAAAATGTTTGTGGGAGTATAGACGAAATAAAACTATAGAAAATAAAAATAAATTTAAAACCTATAGTAGGCGTCTTAAAAACATTATTAAATTTACTAAATAAGTGAAAAAATGACAATTACATACAGACATCAAAAAATAATTGTAAAGCGACGTGGAATGTTATAAATAGCAATAAATCTAATGTTGTTAAGGAACCTATAGAAAGTATATATATTAATAAAATAATTGTACATGACTCACAAATAATAGCAGATGCATTTAATGATTACTTTATAAAAAATTCAATCTGTGATAAGAATTCAAATACGGATGACATTCCTTTTGACGAGAATATAAATATGACATGTAATAGTAGCAATAATAATGTAAATGACATTAATCGTATCGTATCATATCGAAATTATAATTCAATGTTTATGTTACCCACTGGTCCTGATGACATAAATTTAATAATTAAAAACTTACGAAATACTGCAAGCATAGGTTATGATGAAATTTCAACAAAAGTAATTAAATATGTAGCAGGAATAATTTCACCAGTTTTAAGTTATGTTATTAATCTTTGTATAGAAAATGGCATTTTTCCTAATAAACTAAAATTATCAGTGATAAAACCTTTATTTAAAAAAGGTGATAGGGAAAATCTAGACTGTTATAGACCTATAGCTCTTATCACAATATTTGCCAAAATTTTTGAGAAGGTAATTTACAATAACCTTTACTCATATTTAGAAAAATATAAAATACTTGCTAATGAGCAAAACGGATTTCGAAAAAATAAAAACATTAACTTAGCTATATATAATTTTCTTAATACTGTAATTACTAACACTGATAAGAAAATAAGTGTAACAGCGCTATTTATGGACATGACAAAAGCATTTGATCATGTAAATCACGACATATTATTTAAAAAAATGGCGTCGTATGGTATAAGAGGAAATGTATTATCATTATTAGAATCGTATCTATTCAATAGGCAACAGGTAACACAGATTAGTAGAATTTGTGTAAAAAGTAAGAATGAGACTATTTACACCTCGAAATTGCGATACATACGATGTGGTGTTCCTCAAGGTAGTGTACTAGGTCCGCTTTTATT